CTCTACTAAGAACCAGGAACCAGGAGTCTTGTGTTTGTTTAGGTGCCTTAGTAACTAGAGTAGGTTCCCACGAACGGCTACATTAAGGGCTCCTATCGTACTGGATATTATGCTATACGGGTTCGAAGCCTTTGCAAACCCTAAAGTTGGGGCCCTACGTCCCAAAACCCTGAAGCACTCCTTGCTCCCTACTATCAGCGCCTCGATAATTCCAACCGGGTCTGGGCGTTCAAAACACAGTGTACGAATGTACCCTCAAAATAGAATCTCACTAATGACCCCGGTCCAAAAACCGACAACCTAAACCTTGACGTAATTTCGAGCCCCTACATCCTGGATGGAATCCTGAACACTTTGAGCACTAAATTCCTTTGCGTACACCCTAGACCCCGAAACTCCAGAAGCTCCCTTCATCCTAATTGCTTCAAGCACTAAACTCCTAACCTTTGCATACTAAATCCCGAAACTCCATAAACTCCCTTCGCCCTCTGCAACCTCGTATAATATACGAAAAGTAGCATGCTGAATAAGTCAAGCCTTTGTCAGGCCCTCTGCTTGGAGGGTCGGGGGACTTAGTAACTGGTCATTTTAGGGATTTATAAGTACCATAACCCCAATTAGGGTCCCTTTTAGGGTACTTATAAGTCTACTTATTACCTACTTACTAAGTCCCCCGACCCTCCAAGTGCAGCTTGGTGGCGGTCCCATCCGCTTTTGGCGGGTCCGGACTCGTCCTCCTCAGGCTCCAGAGCACCGGCGCCGCCCTGGTTTAGGATTTACTCGGAGGTTCATGGGTAGTTCCTTTAAGGGCCCCTTTAAAGGGATCTATAGGGATTCTATAAGGGTATAGGGTTTAGGCTTTACTTGGAGGTTCAAGGGTGGCGATAAGTGGGGTTATAAGTCCCCTAATATGGGTTATTAGTATAGTTAAACTACTTAGAACCCTACTTATAACTACCCAGGAAGCTCCAAGGTGGGTGTTTTAGGTTTTTTTGAGCCCCCTTTTTACAGCTGCACGACCATCCGAACTGCTGGTGTTTTAGGGTTTAGGGTTGAGGGTTTCAGGGAACTCAGGGTTCCCTGGGCCTCCAGCTACCGAAATGATGAGCTGCTGGGTTACATAAGATGTGGCTATATATCATGGGGAGCTAAAGGTTAACTTTTTTGGATTTTTCAGGGAATATATAGGGACTATACTACCCCAAAAAAGGTTAAAGGTTACCTACTCTACTACTATAGGTTTAGGTAACTGGAGCCCTTGGGGCCTTGGGTGTTCTTGTCTAGGATGCCCAGTAACTTGTAGGAATAAAAAGGGCTCCCTTCTTGGAAATGGGTAACTTGGTAAGGAACCTAGGACTACAAAAAGGGAATACGGTTACTTCTGGCATCCTAGTTGTGGATAGTAAGGTGCACCACAATTCTAGGGTTGCTGTTTAGGGTTATTGTGGCTCAATTCACGGGTAGGCGTCGAACCTCGTGTTCAGGATTCAAGATCCGGGGCGTTACTAGAAACTTTGGTAATGGTGTTGAGGGCTTTAGGGAGGGTTCTGGGCAATGGGGCGTGCGGATGAGGGTCAGGGTCTTGGTGTCTAGGGTATTCAAACTTCATCACCCAAAGGGTCCAAAGTACCGATATAGTAGAATGTAGGGTTTCTATATTAGGAATTACTATTATGATTTGGGGAAGTATTCCCCATAACAGTACATCGGACCCTTTGGGTCAAGGTGGTGGGGTGAAGGTCGGGCGTGATTCTGGGGATCGGGCCCCAATTGGGGCCTCATGCTTGGGGCTCCGGGAGTTCGTGATGATGAGGCTGATGATACTACGGCTGCTCTTGGGGCTGTCAAAGATTCTGTGAATGGAGCCAGCTGAAGGAATCCAGCAGCGGCTGCGTCGGCTTTGAAATGCATGTAGGCTTAGCTTGCCATACACTTAGACTTGCTCAATCTCCACAACAATAAGAGAAGGTCGAACACGAAACACGACTCAAATCCCGCGCCTCCTCGTCCTCCTGCTTCTTGATCCGGAATTGCTGCCTTCAGCTGCGTGATGCCGAAGAGATAGGCTGGGCTCTTGGTTTGAAGTCGGGGCACGTGTGTTGGAGGCCTTACCATTTGGGATGAAGGCACGCAGCGGTTTCGACTTCGGCCTGCCTTGTCATCATTATGATCTAAAGCTGCGTGTAGGGTTTAGGGTTTAGGGATCATTATGCTGTATGTGACCCTTTTTTGCTGCAGGCTTGCGTGCAAGGACGCTTATATGTGACCCTAAACCCTAAACCTTTCGGATGTGTACCGCAACCTGCGGGTTGTAGGTTTTCCACTTCGGATTGCAGTCGGAACTTGATGATCTAAAGCTGCCCCACAACAGGAAAGGTCGTTGGGGAATCGGCCCGGAGGCTACAGGGGCCTTAATAATTAGGATATGGCTGCGGGACCATTATACTATACTCATAATAAGAACCCCAAAATAGTATTGGTAATTATCTAGACTTCGCTTCTCGATCTAGCTTTACCCCGGGGGCCTCCATGCCCCCTGCACAGGGTTCTATGCAGCCTAGCCCCCAAAATAGAACTCTTTCCAACCTTTCAAAAGTGCGGGTTTGGGGGTCGCTGGCTTTAGGGCTATAACAACACTGATGCACCCCTGGCATGACTGTGTCCGTACTTGGAGGATCATGGGACTTAGTAAGTAGGGTCACTATAGGTACATCTACTGATAACCCCAATTGCCTTACTTATAACGCTAATTACTAAGTCCCATGATCCTCCAAGTAGAATTCTAGGAGTCGGCCAAGCTGCGCCAACTTCTCACCTGACGGGTTTGGTCTTCCAAAGCTTGAGGAAAAAAACAATCATACATGGGAGTTTCCGAAAATTAGGGGTGTACCTTAGGGTTCCTTCAAAGGGTTACCAGAAGGGTTCCTTTAAAGGGCTCTAGAAGGGTTTAGAGTTTCCGACAATTCGGGGTACCTTTTTTGCAGGGGCCTTATAATGAGGATCCTACTATTTAGGCTACTATATTAGGGTCACCTATTTCCGGAAACTCCCATATAAGAGGCTCGACACTTAGAACAGCATGTTGGGGAAAGTAAACTATAAACATACAGTGACGAGAAGGGGTACTGACAAAGTTATTATCGCGACCCCTACATCATGTCATTAGCGGATATCACGCAGTCCATCAGCAAAGAGAGACCCTTGTATTGCACGAGCGAGTCCCTACATAAATAATGTACGTCTCAGGGGGCCCTTATCTGGAGAATCCTCAGCAATCGCAGATGTTGTCAGAACTGACTAGAAGTGCTACTTTGGAACAAGTGCCTAACCCTAAACCCTAAACCCCTAAACCCTAAACCCTAAACTAAATCTGATCTTTGGCATGAGCAAGCTTCTATCTCTACTCCGACTGCGGTTTCAAGTAATGGTTGGGGACACCAGCGATCATACACACATTCGGAAGACAGAAAAATGCAAAAAGCTAGCAACACTAGTGTCAACAACGTCGGCAGCATCATCATCAACTACCTACTGTTTAGGGTTAAGGGGTTTAGGGGTTTAGGGGTTTAGGGCGTGCGGTCACTACGACTACGACGCTGACGACGACAACGAGCCACGACCGTGACCCGGCTGACGGTCGTAGAATATAGAAGCAAAAGGGTACGGTACTTGGAGGTGCATGGGTAGTTATAAGTGGGGTTATAAGTCCCCAAAAAGGGTTATAAGTATAGCTACCCTACGCTTATGTCTACCCATGAACCTCGAAGTACCGTCCGGGACCTTACAGCATTGCGTCCCCTTATCGTCCTTAATTAACACTGTACGATACGATGCTAAACTCTACTATACAAGACCTTAGTTGCTGAGTAATAAGCCCCCCAAAGTGTACACTTTTAGTTTTATAGTGGGTAGTATTTTCCACAAAAGAGCAAAGTGTATCCACTCAGATACTAAGAGACTATACTAGACGAGCCGACAATCCTGGACCCCAAACCAAGCAGTTGCAGCTGCTGATTTGTTGCTACTGCCTTAGGTTGTAGAGTTTAGGTTTAGGGTCTATGGCAGAATGTATTTTGTTACACTCTCCTGCTCTACTCTGTTCTATTCTATGACACGGATTCTGGCTTAGGGGTTCTGGCGGCTGGGGGATTTGAACACCAGCGGAAGGGGGTTTGAAACCCCCATTCAAGGGCCTTACTAACGACGGTGTGGTGTTGGGGTGTGTTCAGATAACACACGCAAACATACATACACACACATGTATAGAGGTATATGCACATGTGCATATACCAGTATAAACATATGTGCGTGCGTGGCAGGTCTCAAGATTTAGACATATGTGTAGGTATATGAACGAGAGAGAGAGAGAGAGAGAGAGAGAGAGAGAGAGAGAGAGAGAGAGAGAGAGAGAGAGAGGATGTTCATAACATGGTAGTTCTGCGGACACCTGGCCAGCTCGAGTCATTTATGTTCAGTCTCCTTGAACCCCCTACAACTGAGCCCTCGAAGCTCATCTCAAAAGCCTCAGCAGGCTTCTTGTTAAGGAGCTTAAGGTAGGATTACTTCAAGGGTTCTTTGAGAGTTTAAGGGTTTAGGAGTTTAATTTGAGTTACCAGAAAAGAGAGATCTATGGTAAATAATGTGGTTTCCTGATTCGGTAACTGAAACTACTTCCGTTAACAAGAAACTGGTACAAGAAGCAGTTTAACCCAACCATGCTTACACAGGCCCTTCCCACTGGCCACCCTGAGTGTTCATGCTCCTACGTAGCACATACCGTGGACCTAAAGTCACGATGTGGGGAGGTCCTGTCAAGCCCAACCCATAAACAACTCGGTACTAGAGACGTATAGGCTTCTGCGGCGTATGTGGGAGCTTGCGAAAATAGTGAAACCGAAAACAGTACCCCCTCAATAGTAGGATCCTGATTATAAGGACCCCAAAATGAGGCACCCCCAAATTTTCGGAAACTCCCCACGTGTTCTTTTTCCCCCTCAATCTCACGATTTCGGCTTCTGTCGAGCGAAGTGCACCATCATCTCCGACAAGGGGAAGAGCCTCGGGGCAAGAGCAAAACATACATAGGTTTTTTGGAAAGACCATAGGTTTTTGTTTATTTAAAAGCCTGAAAACCTATGTTTTTTTTTAAATGCCATCAGCCCCTGGACCCACCATAAGCCCTACCTGGACCCTATAAAACCTTCTTCTTTCAGGTTCCTTATTATGGTTTGCTTATGGAAGTCCTCAAAACGGTAGGCTATTCGGGGTTAAGGTTGGGTATTGTTGACACTCACACTCGGCAATACCAGGCTACAAGGAGCAGGGCATCTGCCTACTCATTATCTTACTTGCTAAGTTCATAAGCCCCCAAAAGTGTACGCTACTAAGAAGCCAAGCCCTTGATTATAATAATTTCGTAGGCAATCCCAACATATACATCTCCCGTCAGAAACCCTGAAGTATCTGAGCGTCCAAAAATCGTAAGCACAAAGATGCGCCACCACAATAGCAATGGAATTAGAAGCCGGCCGAGTTGCAGCAGGGCTGTGAAAAGTACAACTTGCCAGAAAGTTTCCGGAGTCGATGATTTTAGCCTAAGCTCCCCACCAGGTACCACTCACAAATAATTGTAAGAAAGGGTTGGAGTAGGGTTTCGCGGTATCTTCTCATGGAGCCGCAAAAAGTAAGCATATGCAGAACAAGTCGTAGTTATCCTTTAACAGTGAAGCCCCAAAATAGAAAAACACAAGTAGCATAGGGGCCGGAAACATTAGAATACGGTTTCGGGGCCAATTGCACTAAAGTTATACTTAATAAGGAACCCCCAAAGTAGTATAGATTATTATTAAGGCCCCTATATTCAAGGGATACTAGGGAGGGGCCGAGGAGCTCAGGGTAAAGCTCATAAGGCGGTGCCCCCGCAGCGAGCCACACTGGAATCGAGACGATCCTCTCGGGAGATCTGATTCTTGACGAGTCTTACTTGGGAGTGTCCGACAATCAGGGGTACCTTATCCCTTCTAACAAGGAATCTACTATTTAGGATACTATATCAGGGTCCCCTATCTTTGGAAACTCCCATCTATGCTGTCTGGCCTCTCGCAACCCCGCCTGCATTGATGGGCTTTGGGTCTTTAAGGGTTTAGGGCTAGTAGCTCTATTATTGCATGATATGACGGAGTTTGAAACCCAACGAATCATAACGACAGCCCGCTACAATCAAACCCTAAACCCTAAACCATCTCTTCCATGTTTTGGCGCCTGGACTGAGGCCGAAGACTTAATCGTTGATTCCGAGACCACTTACCCCCTAGACCCTAGACCCTTTTTTGCACCAGGACCCTAAACCCTAAACCCTAAACCCTGGACCCTAAAACCCTAAGCATTACCGAACGCTACACACCCCACATCCTGGGCGGATGCTTGCCCGAACCCGGCTTAAGGTTGAACATTGGTTGCAGTTCTTGTGTGGTCAGACTCAAGTCAAAAACTATACCTCCCTTAGAACCATAATGAACAAAGTATGCTTGATACTTTCTTATGTTTTAGATGAACAAAAAATACTTCCTAAGGAGACTACAGAAAACCTCTAAGCAGGCTTAGGGTTCAACTTATTGGGTCCTCGAAAGCACCGGGATGGTGTGAGTATAAGCAGCAAAGCGAATGCCCCAGTCGCGATGCCGCGGGATGTCCCGCTTCCAAGCGTAGTACCACGTCAATGCAACGGAAAGCCTTTTTGGAGGATCATGGGGACTGAGCAAGGGTTCTTAAAGGGCCCCTTAGAGGGATCTGTAGGGTTCCTTAGAAAGATCTATAGGCTTTAGTTTAGGGTCTACTTGGAGGATCATGGGACTTAGTAAGGGTTCTTTAAAGGGTTCCATAGAGGGATCTGTAGGGTTCCTTAAAGGGATCTACAGGGTTTAGTTTAGGAATTAGGGTCTACTTGGAGGATCATGGGACTTAGTATTAGTAAGTATAGGATTTAGGTACTTTAATTGGGGCTATAAGTAGACATATAGTTACATTACTTATAACCCTATACTTACTAAGTCCCATGACCCTCTAAGTAATACCACGTTAACGCAACGGAAAGCCTGGATTGGGCTCAGAAGATGCGCGATCATTGCTGCTACCGTTGCTATTGCTCCCAAAGATAAACGAATCATTATGCAAGTGTGCATGTTCATAATTCATATGTCTATCTATTGAGCTGGTCAAACGTCGAATCAAACACAAAAAGGTTTTTTGAACGAAACCGGAAAGTAAACATATGGCAGTTTCCGAAAATAGGGGACCCTAACATAGTACCCTGAACAGTAGGATCCTTATTATAGGGACCCCAAATAAGGGTACCCCTAATTTTGACAACCACCCATATCACCAAAAGCTGGTCCGAGAAGCAGCCAGAGACCGGAGAGCGCAGCGATGACGGCTTGGAAGTAGACGCTCACTGTGTCAATTTCCCAGGCTAGCCTAGGGCGTTCAGTAACCCACTGAGAAATCTTATTTTATAGTAGGAGCCCAGAATCCTGAAAGTAAAAAAGTGTACCACTGAACAGCCTGGTAGCTTGTAAGAAGGGTAGATGGTCAAGAGCGTTGATGCAATGCCTCTCTGGACGGCTCTGAGTACAAATTGTATGCATGTATAGATCCCTTATCACATATTCTAAGATATTGCATCTTGGGCTCTGTGATATACCAGCCATATCATATAATCATATAGTATGACACACCCACGAACACTTGAAGATCCCTGCGAGCTGAGCAGGATACAGATGCGGCCGGTCCAGCGGTGAAGTGCCAAGCTCTGTCTCCTGACAGGGATGCAAAAACTCAACAACTAAACAGTTTTTAGGGCTTAGGGTTTAGGGTTTCGGTTTTAGAGTTTAGGGTTTAGGCTTCTCTGGCTTTAGGCGAAACCGTCCAACTCCAATAGACGAGATTCGGCAACATGCCCGGAACACGAGTGGTGCTTGTGTGTGTGTGTGTTTATGTATCAGTGTGGCTGCGTTTGTAGGGTTCCCGGAGACTCGTGCCTGACCAGCTTCCAGCATTGTGTGGCAGACAGTACCAGTGGGGCCGCGGCGGTCAGGATGTGGAAGAAGAGTAGAAACCTATCCTTGGAGAGAGGAATGCGGTACTTGTCGAAGAAGTACCTTGGTTGGTTCTGTGCAACGTGTAAATTTTGGTAACACTAACCCTAACCCTAAACAACCCTAAATCCTAAACAACCCTAAACCCTAGACCCCGTCACATCCATAGAAGCCCGGACTTGCAAAAAAGACCGTCAATGTATTAGGAGACCAGAAACCAAAAAAAAAACAGGGGATGCAGGTAAACCTGAGGCGCACCGGGCGGTACAGAACATCGTGGCCTGGGGCATCGCCATTCAGCACATGGTAGTCGAAAAGATTCAGAAAGAAGAGGGCGTCGTACCCGAGCAGCGTCAGCACGACAACGCTTTCAGTCACCATCAGAAAACACACAGGAAGGGCAACACCCCTAAATGTGCAGAATCTGCGTCTTCGAGCCATGGTGAGGACGGCCAGGAAGATTACTAGGACTGTTTGGGATGAAGGTACTGACTACATAATGCAAAGAATCCCTGTATTTGTCTCACCGGTAATCGCTAAATACCGTTCTCGCTGTTGGGCCGCTATGAATGACATATTAATTATGAACATGAACAGGCACGGTAATGTCATTAATGACATTGCTGAAGCTGCCGCTGCGGCTGTTGGTGTTTGGTGTTGGTGTTTTTGTTGCTGCTGCTGTTGCTGTTGCTGGTGCTGGTGCCGGTGCCGAGGCTGCCGCTGTTGCCGTTTCTGTTGCTGCTGCTTGTGCTGCGCTGTCGCTGTTGCGATTGTTGTGGTGGCTGTGGATGCTGTGTGTCTTGAGGTTGTTGAGCTTGCTGTCGGTGTTGACCTGGAGGCTGGTGATGATGACCACGATGATTTAGGGTTTCGGGTTTTGGGTTTAGGGATGCTGTCGCTACTCTTGCTGTTGCTGCTACACGCATCAGGGCTTAGGTCATCAGCGAAGAATCTAGATTTCAGTTCCAGGTCTAATTAGAGTTTAGAGGAGTTGGATTTCGGGGTTTTGGGCTTCAGAGGTTGCACAATTTCAGGATTTCAGATTATAAAAAAGGCTGGCCTGAATCTTGCATGAGGCCATCCCTTCAGTGAACGGTTTGGGTTTGTTTGACGCTCACACTCGGAAATACCAGGCGTAGGGTATGGGGCTTACATGGTTTAGGGCTCAGGGGGATCAACCCCCCCCCAACACACACAAAACAAAGCCCTCAAATTATAACACCCTCAATCCACACACCCCTGAAGAGCAGCGCCAAGTGGCGCCGGTCCGCGTCAATCCAAGGGATGTGTGGAGTCAGGTGGATGGCTGCATGGGCCACTGGGTGCCACTCCGATGACTCCTGGCTACATGCGGGGTATAGGTTTTCGATGTCGGGACTTAAACACTCCTCAATCCAAACCCCTTCGGGTTACAGTTTTGGCCCTAAACCCTAAACCCTAAACCCAGGGGTCTTTAAGCGGTGCAAGATACATCGGAGCAAAGTCTTGCCCTGAGCATTTTGGCTTGGCATTTTTCGACTGGAGGCTCCCTGCATCCTACACACCCTTAACCCAACAACTGAACCCCAAAACTCTGCAACCTTCCAGAAACCAATACATGTTCCTTGTGGAAACCCCTTCATAGAATCAGTTTAGATGATAAGAGCCTGTGATTCTCCCCGAATCTATAAATCGAATCCCGCTGTAGTAGCTGCAACAAGAATCACCGCCAAAACCCAGGCTTTAGTGTTTAGAACAATTCTTACCCATGCAGTAGAATCTAGGATTTCTATATTAGGAATGACTATTATGATTGGGGGCAGTATTCCCCATAACAGTACCCAGGACCCTTTGGGTTTTTATTGAACCCACCACGCGAGCCTTGGCCTTCGGATCTTCGCTGAGGAGCTTTAGCTCAAGGTACTCCTTTCGAAACTTCCAAAAGACGGGGTTAGGGGAGTTAAAGGTGGGGTTTAGGGTTCAGGGTTTAAGAGAGATAGGGGGGCTTTAGGGATCTTCAGGGTTTAGGGGCAGTAAGGGGCTTTCAAGGGCGCTGTTACGGTATTGGGTGAGTTGCCACTTTCCTCATTCCGGCACCTCGGGGATAAAAAGCACAGCGTTTATAAACCTCATGCGGCTTGGGCCGTACAACGGGTCTACACCCAGGTCAGCAGTGGCTTACGTCAGAAACCATTAACCCTCAATTTTATGGGGACCGAGCAAGACCTCCACGTTGGCCCTTCGAAGACTCTGAAACTCTTACTTGAGCTTACTGTAAGTCCAAAACGGGCAGGCATTTAACACAAGTCTACCCGCGCCCACAGCAGACAACCTATCGTCTCCATGGTACGTAGTTCCTTTTCAGGGATTGTAGCTTATAGGATCCTACGTATAATCAAGCCAGTTATGGGGCCCCCAAAAGGTGCATAAGCAAAAAAAATGATAGGGATATCTCATATAAACCCGTATAATGAAGCCCAATACGTAAGGTAGGGATATCCCCATAAAATGCTTGTGCTTATGTGCTTTTTGGGGTCCCTACAGTTAAAACCCCAATAAAGGAGCTGACATGTCGTAATGCAGCGGTGGTATCAACACAACCAACAAAGAGATCTGCTCCTATACCTGGCAAACACCAACGCAAGCTCCATAACAAGCTGAGAGGTTGCACGGAAGAAGGCGTAACACAACAGCCTGGCGAGCTTCGGAGTGAAGCAGATTCAAACTAGGGGACTGAAAACACTGCACGAACACGCATGCCCTAAGGGTCCATGTACTCATATAGTATATACATTGGCCTGCTCCATATATATATATATATATATATATAGGTACATTGGGCCCAAAGCATATGCTATATGGGTACATGGACCCTTAGGGACGTCACATCTCCCCATATCAAACAATCAGAGCAGACAGCTTCAACGTCGGTCAGTCCTGGAACATGTCGTCCTCGGCCAGCCTAACTTTCCTTAGATGGCACGTCATATGCAAGACGTTGCAAATGGGGGTTGTTCGAAAGCAGATTTGTCTTTCGTTGCTATCCCAGGATGAACTTGTTGTTCCTGCGAGTCCGGATGAAATTCCAGCACTGCCGGCGGACCAAAGCATCTTGCCCTGATATAACAAAGGGAATCCACGTGAGGGGCTCCCAAGCAAGCACATCCTGGGATTCGAATCGAAGTGCCTGGAGGCTAAGCCCGTGCAAATAGCAGGAGCGTCAGAAATCTCCGAACTCATCAGCACTTCACACGCTCCCAAAGGGTCCAAAGTACCCATATAGTAGAATGTAGGGTTTCTTATTAGGAATTTCTCTTATGATTGGGGGAAGTATTCCCCATAACAGTACCTAGGATCCTTTTGGATTGATGAACTCCGCCACCCCGTAAACCAGGAGAAGGTTCAGGCTTTTGCGCTTACGGGATGGGCATGTGTATGTTCCGAATGTGCGGTAAGTGGAAGTTTGGGAAGGCACCGGTGTGTGCCCGGTCCGGAATTTATGCAAAGGGTGTGCCATATAGTGCGAGGCTTGGAGGACAAGATATACACACTTCTCCCCCTCCACTTGCAGTTTCAGCGTCAAGGACACGGTCTGCAGCCAATTGAAGCCTTGCTGCTGCCAGGTTGTATGCTTCGCAGATATGAAGGCTCAAGCAGGAAGAAGGGCAGATCTGTCACAAGTCTACCTGCATTTCACGATGAATACTGGCAAAAACACAAAGCCAAACGGTTTTCGTACTTCATCGCATGGTGAAGACATGATCGAACTACTCGGCAACTGGCTCTTTCGGATTTCTTCGTCTTCGGGCCAGTCCCTGAACGGTCATAAGGTGCTTCTGCCACGAACTTCCCGAACCTGAACCCTAAACCCTAAACCCCAAACCCAAAAATCCAGGTAACCCCGTTCCTATGCCAGGTTCCGGCTCATTTCAAGCAGGAGCAAGGGTAACAGAAGGATGCGACCATCGCCGCAACTTGTCGGTCCTTCCCACCCCCCAATCCCAAAGGGTCCGATGTACTGTTATGGGGAATACTTCCCCAAATCATAATAGTAATTCCTAATATAGAAGCACTTTGGACCCTTTGGGAATGAGCATGCCTAACCACCCGACGCCTTCATTGTAGAAGCCCCTGCAATGACCCTTCTAGATGCGTGTCAAGAGAGTCGTAAAGGAATCCTCAAAAGAACCCCCTGTAGTGACCCTTTAGGAATTCCCCCCCGCCCCCCCCCCCCCCCCCCCCCCCTGCATCCAATCGAGGGTCGATTGTTCACGACGCGCTGGGCCGGTTCTGGCACAGGAAGTGCTTTGTTTTTAGAGGGTCTTCTCGAAAGGGATCAGAGTTCAGACCCTGTGGCTTTTGGGTTGCTATAGGGGCCTTCATGATGAGAATAGGGTTTTGGGGCAGTCTAGTAGAACTATAATTTGGAACCCCCAAAATAGTACAGGTAGGTTTGACCTCTTGAGATGGAAGCTGAAGCATCCAACCTCACCCTAAAGCCGTATACCAACTGTAAACCTCTCGAACGCCGCACAGGCCCACTTGAAAGCCTTCCCCCAGCTGGGTAGTTCTCCAAAGTAGGGTCCCTTTTGGGGTACCCGAAATAGTAGGTGCCCTATTATGTTAGGGACCCCCAAAAGGGGCCATAGTTTGGCCAACCACCCACCTGTGTGCTTGCAGCGCTTCGGAATGGCTCGGTCATCCTCCTTTCGTCCCCAGGCGACCTCGTGGGTTTATCATAAGGACCCTTAGGGGGGTATGGGGGAGGAGGGTGGGGAGCCTTAATACCTATAATGACTTGTTAAGGCCTACTTGAGGAAGTACAGCACATATATATATATATATATATAGTCCCTTACCCCCCTCCCCGTTACCCCCCTAAGGATCCCTATGAGTTTAGGGTGTAGGGGTTCCGGGATTCAGAACTTAGGGGTTCGGGCTTTTTCCTACCCACCTAGCTACCCTTAGCCCTAAACCACCCTAAACCCTAAACCCCAACCTTAACCCTGAAGAACCCACCTTTTTAAGGACTTTTATAAGGAAACATAATAGGGAACCCTAAAACGGTAGGTTCTTCAGGGTTAAGGTATGCTCTGAACCCTAAACACCAAGTAGCTACCCTAAACCCCGAGCCCAAAAGGATGCCACTCCCGGGATACGAGACATTCCTCACCTCAGCTCACCACCACATGGGAATTTCCGAAAAGAGGGGACCCCAATATAGCACCCTAAATAGTAGGATCCTTATTATAGGGACCCTAATATAATACCCTAAATAGTAGGATCCTTATTATAGGGACCCTAATATAGTATCCTAAATAGTAGGATCCTTATTACAGGGACCCTAATATAAACTGATATAGTATCCTTAATTGTAGGGTCCTTATTAAAGGGACCCCACA